TATCTGGTGGCAATAATCAATGCCATGCTATGGACCCAGTACTTCCCAGCGGTATGGAAGACCGCTGATGCTATAATTATTCCAAAGCAGGTGGGTTCGATAATCTCCCGGATTACCGTCCCATTAGTCTACTGTCCATTCCTTCTAGGATTACTGAAAAGGTGATGCTCCATCACCTTGAACATTCCTCGTCAGACCACAATGTAATGCCTGACGTGCAATTTGTCTTTTCGTCTGAGCATAGTACCAAGTTACAGGCGGTTAGACTTGTTGATCTAGTAACCAGGGGATTAACCATTAACAAAATTAGTGGCATCTTGGTTCTGGATCTCTCAAAGGCACTTGACAAGGTATGGCGCAAGGGCCTCCTCTATAAATGGATCCATTCAAACTTTTGGAATCCTACCCCGAGGGTAGGAAATTTCAGATCAAATTTAATAAGGTTCTGCCGACAACACGGCCCATCAAAACCTGTGTTCCTCAGGGTTCGGTTCTTGGACCATTCCTTTATTTACTTTTTATTCATGGCGCCCGCTGCTCTTTCCCCAGCAACCGTTATGTCTATTTCTGTGCTGATGACACTGCCCTGATGGACCAGTCGGGTTCTGGGAATCTGGTTTTGATCAAAATTCGAAAGCGCAGGCTATGTATTGTATTAAAAAACGTAGCGGCGCCCCGCCTGAGGTATCAGTGAACGGAGCTCGAGTCACAAAGGCGCGGCTCGCACTGCGACAAAATTAAATCGTGCGACTTTAGGTCCAACCAAAATTATAATGTTCAACAACCAATTTCTAAATTAATTTTAGGATCAACTAAAAATTCTCGAATACAAGTTAACAATGCCATGGCACCCCAAAAATTGGCGCACTTCTTTTTTCTTTGCTCCCTCTCCTTCCTTTCTTTTTCCTTCCCTTCTTTCTCCCTGATTTTGTCTGGTATCTTGGCAACCAGACTTGACATACCTATTGACTTACAATACTTTAACCAATAGCTGAGGTCCTACGGACCGCTCTGACAGGCAATGACGAATGGAGATTTAACATCTTTACTGTAATTTACTTTGATCTCAAACCTTTATTAGTTCAGTTTGTTTTTTAATCCAGAAGAAACATTGTATTTGTCATTCTATTTTATCTTTGATGTAGCGTTGGCGTTGGCTGTTTCACTTAACGGACTGAAGGCTGAGTGTAGCAATAAAAATAAATTGCGTATATTTTGCGATTTTTGTTTTATGGCTTTACTGCTTTCACTTAGTGCTATAACTACTATGTATTCGGTTATCTGGTCGTATAATAAATTGTAGACGGGTAGGCCGGATACCGGATAGTAACTGGACATTCGCTGCAACCCTAGTCAAAATCCATCAATCCATTTATAAATAGAAATTTCAAGGTTGAAGTTTTGCGTTTAAAATCCGTCATTATAATTGTATAAAATTTTAATTTACCATGTGTCACTCGCACTGCCAAGACAAATCTATAGGCACGTCATATTATGTCAAAACTCGGTAACTCGTTCAAGCTGTAGCCCGTAGAGTAGGAATTTCAAAGTCGATTTTTTTATTAAAAATCGCCATTTTATTTTTATAAAATTTCAATATAGCTACTCTCACTCGCTCTGCTAAGACGAATCCAACACCACCTCATATATACTATTCGTCATTTATTTGTCTGGGCGGTCCGTAGGACCTTTGCCCATTAGTCACTGTCTGATGTACGTTAGTCGAATCTGTCAGTCCTGGTTGCCCAGAAACCAGACAAAGTCAAGGAAAAAGAGAAAGGGAAAGAGAAGAAAAAAGGAGAAGAACAAAGAAAAACAGATATGCTTAGTTTAAGAGGAAACACCTAGGCTTTTTGACTTGGTACACGGATTAATTTTGAGGTGAACTAAACAAATTTTTTGATTCGGTTTTGATAGAGTGTAATTTTGAGTTTACTAAAGATTCACGATAACTTTTGATTACAGTGCGAGCCGTGGCCTTGAATGTTTACGAACTTGCTCCACTGTGTAGTCCACTGAGTCACGCAACAGAGGGTTGCTGTGCGATTCCGCTTGACTATAACGTCGCTGCGCCTAAAGCTTGACATAATCCCTCAAGTAAGGAATGTCAAGGTCTCTATGTAGTGTCTCATTTGAGACATACCATGGAGCGTTGCACATTGCCCGCAAAGTTCTGCTTTGCAGTACTTGAAGACTTTGCATGTGTGTCTTGGCAAGAAAACACCAAGCCGCACATGCATAAGTAATGGCTGGTCTAATAATCATTTTATATAGTCGAACTTTGTTTATCAAACTCAATTTGGAGGATCTACATAACAAAGGATATAGTTGCCGAAACGCAAGTTGGAATTTTGTTTTTATGGATGCTGTATGTTTCTGCCAGGTCATGCCTTTATCAAGGGTGACACCGAGATACTTGGCAGAATTTGTCCATGGTACACGATTTCCGTCTACAGAAACCTCTGCTGGGGCCGCGACGTTTTTTGGTACAATAGCCTGCGTTTTCGAATGATTAATTTTTATCAGCCACCGTTCCGCCCACTCTAGAACTTCGTCCACCGCATTCTGCAACCCATCGTGAACCAGATCACCAGTACATGACTGGGCGTCCTAGGACCGAACCCTGAGGAACTCCGGCCCGTACTGGCCGAGATGTTGACAAAACATTGTTAATTTTGATCCGAAACTTCCTTCCTTCAAGAAAGGATTTCAGTAATTTTAGAAGCCAAAAAGGAAAACCCTTTTGGATTAGTTTATAGAGGAGGCCCGCGTGCCACACCTTGTCAAAGGCTTTTGAGACATCCAAAAGCAAGATGCCAGTACTCATGCTAAGGGTGAACCCTCTCGTTACATGCTCCACCAGCCTGACTGCCTGTAGCTCGGTGCTATGCTCGGACCGAAAACCGAATTGTACGTCAGGAATCACATGGTGATTTGACGAAAAATTCTCAAGGTGACGATAAATCACCTTTTCGGCGAGCTTAGAAGGAGCTGACAGCAGACTTATGGGACGGTAATCCCGAGGAAATATCGAACCCACCTACTTTGGAATCATGATGACCTCAGCAGTCTTCCACCCAGCAGGGAAGTATTGGATTTTGAGCGTCGCATTGATTATTGTCACGTATGTCAGGGCTTTCGGCGAGAGCAGCTTCAACGCCTTGTTGGTGATTTGATCCTCCCCAGGTGCTTTACGCACCTTGAGGTCTTTAATATGACTTAGTAACTCCGCTGGTGTGCAATGTGGAAACTCGGAGGGTTCCGCTAATGTGCTATGTGGAGCCTCAGGCGAATCTTCTGAAGAAGAGTCATCTGAAGAGGATTCAGTGCCTCCGCTAACGCCGTTGGCTCTAAAATATCTCCTGACGGATCGTACGATGTGCTGTTCCTCGTCGAGGTCATTATCGAGATCATAGTTGGGAGAGAACTGTTTTTCCATGGAATCAGCGAAAACCTCGACCTTATCCTCCGTTCTGAAGACTATCCCTTCAGGACCGTGGTTGTGTGGGAGTTGTTCTCGCTTTCCGTTTCTGAGTGACTTTGCGACCCTCCAGAGAGGAATACTTGAATCAAGCATTCCCGCCAGAAAGTCGCTCCATTGCTCGTTGCGGAGTTCGTGCAGTGCGTTTCTCACTTCATGGACAAGATTTGTAGCCCTACGAATGTCATCAGGATGACAAGACCTTTTTGCCAGCTTAATAGCGGCTCTTTTGTCAGAGATTTTCTGACGAATGTCCGCAGGCAAAAAAGGTCTGCCGTGTCGTTGTACAGGAAATACAGCTGCACGCTGTAGAGCTGCTTGAATGAAACTTGTCCACACCGCTTGAGCGGCATCTATTCCAGACTCATCATCTATAATCGGGATATTGGGAAACTCTCTAAGGAGCAACTTGTATAGGTCCCAATCAATGCGTTTCCTTGGAGGAGCTGCCTCCTCAGAAGTTTGCTCATTGCCCACATCCAAGAAACAGATAGATGGTCCCTAGAGATATCATACAAGATTCGAGAAGAGATACTGTATCTACAGTTTTTAGATATCGCGAAATCGATGACATCTGGTGCCTGAAGATGGTTGAATGGATGATGTGTCTGCTCTTCAGTGCTATGTATAAGGTACCCATTTCGCATCACATGATTGTACAATCGAACCCCACTAGTGGAATTCAACCTAGAATTCCATGCTCGATGTTTGCAGTTGAAGTCCCCTGCCACAATAAGCGGACCCGAGTAGTCCAAAAGGACCTCCAGATCCGCCTCTTGTAGCCTGGCACCACACCTGACATACACCGAAGTGATCTTCAACGAGACACCTCCCGCCATATTGACCACCACAGAAGCTGCTTCGATGCTATGCATCTCTGCATTAGTGCTTCTATAATAGTCTATACCGCGCTTAATCAACACTGCTAAACCGCCGCCTCGACCACTCAATCTGTCACCTCGGATAATATCATAATTCGGGAGAGCTAAACGATCTCCCGGATTAAGCAACGTTCCCTGCAGCAAGGCCACATCTATACCTTCATCCAAAAGAGCTTGATGAAATTCCCGTTTTTTGGGAATATCCCTCATGCCCAAACCATTCCAAAAAAGAATTTTGATGAATGCAGGCTGTCTACTATTGTACCTAGACATTTACAGGAAATATCACCTGCAACGCTTGGGTAGCGCTAATCAGTGGGCTTATTATTTGTTGTAAGGACCTTAGCGCGGTTGCCAGGTCCACATTTTGCGTGCTTAAGGGAGGTTGGGCAGAGGGGGCAGGTAAAGTTGCCTCCCGAGCTGCGTCCGCGTATGATTTATTGCGCCTTTGCGCTATAACTTGCAAGTTCCTCCTTGGAATGAATTTGCAAGTCCGGCTATTTGCGGGATGTCCCTCTCCACAGTTCGCGCACTTGCGTTCTTCCTCTTCTGTGAGGGGGCACAAATGCGTCATGTGGTCCTTTGCACATTTTAAGCATTTGGGCGGTGCAGTGCAATATGACTGCGCATGCCCATACTTTTGGCAGCGGTGACACTGCCCAATGAGTCTGGAGTTTTTCTGAACCTCAACTCGAATGGCCAGTCCCAGCAGTTCGTGTTCGTTGAACACTTGCTGAGACTTTTCAGTCTTGGGCAGTATCACGACCACCAAAGGCATGGGCGCGCCGCCGCTGCGCTTCAATCGAATGATGTGAAGAGGGCTATATCCCCTCTGCTCCAGTTCCCCCTTAATCTCAGTATCCGAAAAGTTGACGGGAACTCCTCGAACCACCGCATGGATGTTCCGTTCCGAAGGGAGAGGAAAAGTGTGATGGGGCACTTCTTCCTCTCGGAATAGGCGAACGATCTTACGGTAGTCGTCCTCGGATTTAGGAATAATCCTTATTCCCGCATCAACGGCAACCGCGCGATCTATTTTAATACCTAGGGAAATAAATTTGAAATTTAAAGTACGCCATCTCGTCCCGTCGCGTAAGACGATCGGGGTTATGCGCCCTTGCCGTGATGGTTTTGTTGATGCCACGTCGGTTGGACGAGATGACGGAGGAGAAGTAACATCGGCTGACGGAGTCACCTGACAGATAGATAACGTGGTCCCTGGCTTGGTAGTAGAAGCATTAATAGTGGTTCGATTTGATGAATTGGGGAGGTGTGAAATGGATTTGATCCTGTATTCGGAAGAGGAGGAAAGTCTTGGGTTCATCGATCAGCCTTGTTGCCTTTCCTCCTTCTTGATTTTGCTTTCACAAATCCGTCGATCTGTACGTCTTCGTCTGTGGATGTGAGATGATCATCAGTAACGTTTCTCAGTGGTCTTTTTAGGGTCTTTGTATGTTCTTTAGGGGATTCTTTTGAATTTAGTAATATGGTTACCTGGGCGGTCAGGCTGTCAATTTTGGCTGTCTGGTCCTTGATGGTCTCCATTAGGTCTCGAATCTGCCTCGCCTGGTCGTCTATTATCAGCATCAGTTTTTCGTTCGTTTTCTGCTCCGATGACATCTGCGTCAGTGTGCTCATGTTTTCTGATTCTGCTCGGTTTCCGCCACCGCTCAGCTCTTTCCTCATAGTATGTGGAACTGCGTCGTCTGTTGATCCTCCTGGGTCAACTTCCATCTTTTAAAAACTTTTTCTCGCCAACAAATCTCTGAAAACTTATAGCTCGCAAATTTGACAATGTTGTCAAAACCCTTCTTACAGGGCGTTCACCACCTCATATATGTGAAACCTATCAAGCCGTTTGGTCTGTAGTCCGTGAAATATAATTTTTTCTTTAGATACATCTATACATATCATAACCCTCCCGAGGCGGTCTGGTAATAAATTGTTACGAATTTGCCGATTGGAGGAAAATCCATCATGGGTATGAGAAATTAGTCACATGTTCTAGACACCCTGTATGTGAGCAGTATCAAACCATCGTCATAATTATTGTATAAACATATGAAATAATCGAAAACTTGCCTGATTAAGAAAGTTTTCTTCGGGGCAGATATTTCGAAATTATTTACTAAACGATAATAATAAAAATCGCGATGCAAATTGTTGAACTGCATGCACCAGGAAGTATTTGCATCTCATTATCATTGCTTACATAACCAACTGGGTTAAGTAGGAGTGGAATAATAAATAGATTTAAAGATAGTAGATAGTGACCTTCACTTAGGTTGCTCTAATCAATAAACGTAAACGACGTAACCTTAGTGGTTTGTGGCTAAAGTCCAATGTTCTGTTCTGTAACTCATTTAGACAGATTATAGCTTGTTTTGACGCTACTGCCTGATTTCTGATAGCATGGTCAATATACAAAACATGTACACACCCATCGTATCGGAAGTATCACGAGGGTTGGTTATCTGTTCCGTTTTTACCCTGTGGGCACGTGTTGTTGTTCACTCTCGATGTGGTAGATTCTGGTAACACTGGCCAACAAAAAAAAATGTTATTTGTTCGCTGGTTCTAAGTAGTCAAATGTCACTAATTTTGGGTCGATAAAAACGAATATGGTCGTGACATTTTTTCATCAGATCTTTTTTAAGATACACAGTAGTTCACACTATACATCGATTTAAAGATAAATTGAAGATCCTGTGTACTTTAATGAACCGAAAAATATTTTCGATAAAGAAATAGTATCATACATTAGTCTAATCGTATTGTCGTTTCCTTTTGCACTTTTGCCTTTTGTATGTCGAATTCGGAACATCTACTGTAAGTGTGCGTCCATACTGAATGCGCGGTGACTGGGGCCTAAGGCGGGCACGGCGAGCGGCGGCGTGTGGTGTCCACAGTGACACGCGAGGTCTTGTACTTGTTCGACGTATACTAAGTGACATATAAATCCGAACACCCAGTTTAAAAGGTTTTATTTTAATAAAAGTTGGTGAATGTATTTATCTTACTGTAAATAACAAGTGAAAAAATTTTCAGCCTTATCAGTTGGACATTCCGGTTTTTATACTGCTTTTTTTTAATTCACTAACGCTCTAAAAATGAATATTTCAGCCGCAGTAAAGAATCAACGTTGGCGGATTTTGGTTCTTGACATCCTTTACGATCGGTTACGATGCCTAGAGTACGGAGACCTGTACGATTTCGTCAACTTAGTGAGTTTGATAGGGGCCGTATAGTGGGACTTCGGGAAGCTGGACTTTCTTTTCGGGCAATTGCACTTAGAGTGCAAAGAAGTGTAGACACTGTGGTTAGGTGTTGTCAGGCATGGCTTCGAGAAGGCCGTACGCAAAGAGCAAGGGGCACTGGACGCCGCCGTAGAACAACAGACCGTGAAGATCGCCGCCTAAGATTATTGGCCTGGGACCGTTTCTCCACTACCAGGTTTATTGCAAATGAATGGTTTGCAGAACACGGAAGACCTATTGGCATGCGAAGTGTTTACCGACGAATGAGAAGTTTTGGCTTGTTTTCATACCGGCCACACTGGGTCCTCCCTTTAACTCGAGAACACCGACGTAATCGCCTTGAGTGATGTAGACAACGGTCACTCTGGGATCAGGAATGGAACAGTATTGTCTTTAGTGACGAGTCTCGATTTTGTTTAGGCATGCACGATGGTCGTGCCAGGGTTAGAAGGCGACGTGGTGAAAGGAGGAATCCACAGTTTTTTGTTGAAAGACATGTTCATCACACTGTTGGAGTTATGGTTTGGGGTGCTATAGCTTATGGTTCCAGGTCACCTTTAATCTTCATCAGAGGTAACATGAACGCGCAGCGTTATATCCACGAAGTTCTAGAACCCCATCTTTTACCCTATCTTGACACCCTGGCAGATCCAACTTTCCAACAAGATAATGCCCGACCACATGTTGCAAGAGTCACAATAGACTTCTTTCAACATAATGATGTCACATTGTTACCATGGCCACCAAGATCTCCCGACTTATCCCCAACTGAGCACGTGTGGGATATGATGGGTAGGAGATTGCTCAATTTGCAACGTCCTCCTCAGACTCTAGAAGCACTTCTTGAGGAGTTGGTGGTTGCCTGGAATGAGATACCACAGGAGGACATTGACCACCTGATCAGAAGCATGCCTAGGCGCGTTGGAGAATGCGTAGCACATCAGGGTGCATCCACACATTATTAAAGGTCAAAGGGCTTTAAAGCAGTGAATCATTTTGAAATTTTTATCATTTACTTATTATGCTTCATTAACACGTTAAACGCCAAGGAAAATGTTAGAAAAATGTCCATCTGGCCAAAGTCCAATTTTGTATCATTTGTCTGCAGAAATACGTTTGATTCATTTATTTATTATCTCTTTAGCTGTTTTCTCAAAAAAATGTTTAGCGGTCCCTAGGGACCGCCGTGGCGTGGCGGGAAACATATGCCTAGCACGCCATGGTGGTCCGAATTGACTTGTTCGTTCCTGTTTTACTTGCACAAATCAATTTATTCATCACGGTAGAGTAGACGTTGATGTTCTGATTGATAGTAGTTGCTTCTAGTTAGTGCTTTTTACGTGCAATTATAAAATGAGTTAACGTGCCAAACGTTTGGTTCAACTTGCAAGAAACCTTTCCTCGAAGTATAGTGACGGTAAGGCTCAAGAAAAATATTACATTGGCGACATTATAAAATAAAATTTTTTCAGACTCCAGTTCGTCTTCAGAATCGCCGAACGATCCATTTCAATGTTCCCACTTTTGGCTTGACTACTTCGGAACAAGTCATAAATAATATATGAAATTATCTTATGTTTTGTATCCCTATATCTACGGGATCTACAAAGAGAAAATGATCATGCGGAGAAAGGTATATAACAAAAATAGGAAAATGATGCATGATCATTTTTCTCTTTGTAGATCCTTTGGCCTTGAAGTACCACAGCAAGTGGCTATAACCGACCGCGTGGTGGTGGTAAGATATCGCCTTGAAAATTCGAGGTCTTCTAGTCATTTTATACCACAATGTGTATGTTGGCTCTTGTTGTGGACTTCGTATGTGATCTTTTCCCTCTCAACCTTCGTTTCCTCGGGTTCATTTTCTCTTTGTATATATATAATATATACATATATGCATTTTCACTGGAATCTTGTTTGTTTTTATCAATATTGTTGTGTAGATTTAGTAGGAGATAAATGATATGAATCAATAAAATATTGAATAACTCTATTTGAAACAAAAATACATCAAAAAGTTGGCATTAGGATATAATCCATGCCAGCCACAGCGGTCCATATCTAACGCTAAATTGAAATTAAATATGGACGTTTGGCTGGAGTCACCGCGAAAATAAATTAAAAACAAAGCGGTCCATACGGACCGCCGTGGCGTGATAGACCCGTTGCCAAGCTGTCCCCTGGGACCGCCATGGCGTTTAACGTGTTAAGTACTTATACAAAATTTTATGAAAATAAAAGCATTTAAACTGGGTGTTCGGATTTATATGTCACTTAGTATATTATCAGAAGTTCCAAACTATGGACGACGATTTGATATTTTTACTAGACAGTTCGATCCTGAGATGGGAGGTGTTGAACATTCGAGATGGTGTACACGAAATAAATGAAAACAGAGAAGCAACTGGTGAATTTTTTCATTTGTATGGAGAACTGAGATTATACCCTACCAAATTTTTTGAGTACACTCGAATGCCCATGTCAACATTTGACTACATCCTAAGTAAAATATCTGTGGCGTGGATGTTTACTTTGCCAAATAGGTGGTTTAGATTGAGTTGCACTTATAAACAATTCGGTATCCGCCATTACAATACAATAATACTCATGCATACGCCGAGCGACAAGACCGAACTGGTTTGATGCCGCCGCCTCCGCGCGTTAGGTCGCTTGCTGATTAGGCCCGTAATGTGACCAGAAAGCGCGGAACAGGAACGTTTGAAAA